TGTATATTTTAGAAGCTATTTATTCAGGTTTCTGGAGCATTCTCAGTGCCTTCTTGGGGTGGTCAGCAGGCAGCAATGTGTAATGCAAGGGAAGTCTTACTTTTTTGATCAACTATTTTGGTTTTAGAAGCTGTAAAACAGAATTAAGGCTATCATATTCTGCTTGGTTGTGCCAGAAACCAAGAAGAGTGATTTGCTTGTGTCTTTTCTTTTTTTTTTTTTTTTTTGTCTTGTTTTTGTCTTTAAAGATTTAGTGTTCTTAAGGGGAAAATAACCTCACAGAATTCCTGGCCATGTGAAGAAAGGATTTAGCGACTGTCTCTTAGATACTATGTGACCTCTCCTGTCAGCAAGCTTCCTCAGCCCACGGGGGACTTGTTCCTGACTCACAGACTCCTGTCATTCTGGACAACAAGCAGGAGTTAAAATATCATTTATAATCCAGAGAAATATTAGAAAAATGCTGAGGTATCAGACTGAGCTTTGGGGCTCAAGTGATTATGTTTACAGCTGGATAACCTGGTATCTTGGGCTTGCATGAGGAAAAAGTCCACCCAGACCTCTTGAATCTGCTTGGGAAATTCTGAGAGACTTGGCCCTTGTAACTATTTTAGTGGAGTTAGACATTACACAACAACAGGCTCTATTTCATTTCCAGTTAGGACCGTAGCTTCTCCTTTGGCTGATAACGTGACACATAGTTATCTTCTCTAAAGTGTGCGTGAAGAAATTCTAGGCAGCATTACATAGGATTTTCCATGGAAGGATGGAGGGAGCTTTAGGCGTCTGTAGCTCCATGTGTTTTTCTTCTCTTGGATTGTGGGGAGAAAGGGGAGGGCATCAAAACCTCTAAATATGTTCAGAAGGGTTTTCCAATGCAAATTTCTTAAAATGCCTCTGAAATGTCTTCAGCCTTGTCTTGATGCCCTTGATTTTGGGAAAGAACTGGGTGTGGTAGGGATACAAATACCACGGTGTGGTCTCTGAAAAACTAATTGGTGCTCACTTCATGTGGACCTGGACTTGCTTCCTCCCCCACAGGTTCCTTGCCCATAACCCCTCTGTAGCATCCAAGAAGCTCTCAGAACCACCTTGAACAATGGGACGGACATCTGGCAAATGTCTTTTTCTCCGTCATCCCAACGAGAACCGGAATGTAATACAGTGTTTGGTATTTGGGGAGGAAGATAAGGAGTAATAGCAGAGGAATTATTACTTGCTTTTTAGTCTGTTTTGCCTGTTTCCACAGTGCTTTTGTTGATCAGGAGAGAGTAAGTCTGAGGAACCTGCTGTGAGCTCTGGGTATAGTTTGCAGTGGCACTGGAGCCATGTGTGTGTCCTCAGGTCTCAGGCTGGTGCCCCAGAAAGTTCTTTCTTTTCCATACATGTCCTTACTCTGATAGAATAGGGCTCCACTGTGCGGGAGGAGTTGTTCTCCATGGAAATTGAAAAGAGTATGTCCTGTATAAGCTAGCATTATGTCAAAGATAGAGAGGTGTCTTCGGCTTTCTTTTTTACTGGACTTTTTTTCCTTGGACTGTTTGTACGATCTGTTTCCCTTGCAACCCACTTCCAGGACTATTTTGATTAATCTTCCCATAACTTATTAATCAAACACATAATGAGTTTTAAGGGCATGAGACTCTGAGTCAGGCTCACGTTCCACCGCTCCTTCGTTCTTGCAGTGTTGAGACCCAAAGCCTGACAGCAGAGCGTTCACGTCTTGCCAGCAACGTTGTCTGTCTTAAAATGGATGGGACTCTTGGTTGCATTAGTTTTCATCGTGGAAACCTTTTGTTTTTGCTCTAAGTGTTTATCAGCTGGAGGAGGAATCATTTCAGGGTTATGAAGCAGGGTTAAAAGGTTAAAGCTCAAGTTAGAAGGTAGGCTTGTAATTAACAGCACAAGTGTTTTAACACTGAAATGTACTTGACCTAAACCTGAGTGTCATCGGGGAAGTCTGAGAAAGCTGCTCATGGGAGAGCTTGGTAAATACATAAGGTTTATCATTCCTTCTTCAATTTTCTAGTGATGACAGTGAAAAGCAGCTGGGAGCTGTCTTCCATAACCTATTTGTTTTCTTGGATTTCTGTATATATTTTTGTCTCTTCAAACCGTGTATTTGCTAGGTAATGATTCTTGGGTCATCATTGTACAACATCCTAGTGAGTTACAAAATACTAGTAGGGTTAATCGTGGGTGTTGTACAGCCACTTAGTAGAATGCAAGTGTGCTTCTGAGAAGGTGCCTAGCTATACTTACAAAGATAAAAATAGTTGGAGTTTGAGTGTTTCTCAGTGTAGAAGAACATAAGCTAGAATGTTGAGGAATGAATTTTGAAGCATGAATTTGTAGGAGTTTAGCATTTAAAAGGTTGAATGTCTCCAGGGTACAGCACTTCTTTGAAAGTGAGACATAGATGGATCTATTCTTTTATCTGCAGAGAAGGCTGCATGTGTGTTCCCAGGCAGCTGTGTGATCAGAGGCTGTAATTCAGGAAAACCAGCATGTGCACAATTTCCTGCAGCCCACCATAGATGGGCAGTATCCCTCTGGAGAGACTTGCCAAGCTGCAGGAGCAGCCTGCCTGTTCCATTAACAGTTTATTCAACTCCTGCTTGAAAGAGCCGGGCACAAAGTTCAAAAGGTGTCCAAGACCTGTCCAAAGTTTTGGCCTGAGGCCAACACGATACCCTCTGTCAGAGTGATGGCTTCAAGCTGTTCCCTTAGGAAGCTTCTGTCTAGGATAGGCTCCTGGCACAGAAACCACCAGAGGTGATAAAAAAATCACAGGTGGTTTTATAGCTGGGTTTATCCTTGTCTTTTAGTTTGGGGTCGTTAGGGTTCCCCGAATTTCTCAGTGAAAGCCCAAGTGTCTCCAGTAGTCTGTTGCTTCAGGAACTAGCATGCCACATCATTCACAAGCCTCAGAATTGTCTTGCATCCATTTTTGCTTGTTAAGCAGCCTCTTCTGTGTAAAGACAGCTGCCGACTCAGCAAGATTTTCTTATTTATGACAGATAATTCATATTATTTATGATTTATATGTTCCAGGTGAAGGCAGCAAAGAGGTGCTAGGCTTTAGACAAGTGGTGATGAGTCTTTTGGATGGAGAAGGAGGAAACTTTCTTTTTTTTTAGGACCAAGAGTGTTTTGAGGAATTCTTTAAATTTTAACAGGGCTGTGACCCAGAGCATGTTTGATGGGTTACGTGTCAAACGTGCTCAGACATACAGAAGGACGTTTCTGTGACGCTGAAGTCACAGACAGGCACTTTTTTCCTAGTGGAAGCCAGTCCTGAACTACCTTGTCATCTTCACTGAGCTGCTACTTCATGTCAGAGGGTGTCTTCCTGTCCTTTTGCTTTCTGTCTGCAACAGCGCTTTCACGCAGTATATCTCCGCTGCCTCAAAATCTGTTGTTCAAGAGACTTGTATCCTAAGCCTTTAAGGAGTCTGATGTGTACATTAAATGCCTCCATTGGTGCTATGGGAATGTCTTTAAATATCTTATAACATTTGAATGTAACAGAGCGCAGGGTCTCGCTTTGTGCTTCACTGGGCTTGTGCAGGCTGTGTGTAGCAAATCCATCAGTGTCAGTTCAGCACGGCTGCCACTGATGTCAAAAGCCTACGTGTGCAATAGCTGTTACTCATTAAACTTAGCGTTCAGATGTCTTCTCTAAACTGTGAATCTCCTTTTTCTTTTTAATCCCTTACCCAGAAAAATATTTGAAATACATCAATTATTAATGCTGTAAATCTAGAGACAAAGAAATCAAGGGTATGAACTTCGTTGTGGCCTCACGGTGTGTTCAAGTTCTTGCATGTCGTATGGGCAAGGCAATATTGTGCGTGTGCAGTACTTGTAAAGTAAAAAGTGGATTTTTACGTTACGGACTTGGCACAGTCTATAAAGCTGTGAATGACCCTGGTGAAATATGCACAATGCGCGTGTGCTGTGAATTTGTTTTTTTCTTCAACAGAGGAAGGAATACAAGGCTTCTAGTACGTTAACTGGTGGGTTTCAGACTGCACAAAATATGTATTTGGAATTGTTTTAGCTGTATTCTGCATTGTTGTGGAGTTCATTTCCTGGTTTTGTGAGCCTCTTAGTTTGCAAATCACCTTCATTAGCAATTACTCCTCTACTTTGAAGATTTTTTTTTTTTAATGAAAATATTTGTTTTCAGCTTCCTAAAGGCAAATGTCCGTTAAACAGATACTGTTACACTGCATAAAAATTTCATTATGATAATTTTATCATTCTTAAACAGCCTCTGGAAATGAGAATAGAAAAATTTTCGTACTGGCAATGTGATTAGTGGCTACTTACACTCTACACAAATTGTAATTAAGTGCAGTTTTCATCATGTATGTTTTTAAATAGCTAAAAGAGTTATACTAATCCTTAAAATATAAAAGCGTCTGTAAACTGCTCTAAAGAGGTAATATAAAATATTGTGCATGTTTCAAGAATAAAGAAACTTACAGCTCTTTCAAAATACTTAATGGTTTTGGGGGAGCAGTGGCCCACAGAAGAAAATGGCATTTAATTAAGTCACTTTTAGATTGATGATTTTTGTTAAGACCTACAAATATGATCTGACTATAAGAGTACTTGCCTACTCTCCAAGAAAATAAAAAGTATTTTAAAAGTCTGTGAGTGTACCAAATTTACAGTAAGGGTTCTGCTTTAACCTGTGTCACACCAACACTTCATTATTTTAAATAGGTAAAGAGGTTTAGTTGTCTAGATTGACTTTTGGCAGAAATTACTCAAGCGTCCAGTTCTTAAATAAAATAAATAAAAATTAAATTAAAAAATAGCTTAAAAATAGGAGATGCACAGCGTTGTTCTGGGGCGATCACCCCAGCATGGGCGATGACAGAGCAGCGGGTGCTGCACAGGGTGCAGGGATGTCGCTCCACGTCTCTGTTTCACAAACACCTTCACTTCGTTTTATGGTTTGTTTTTTTTTCTCCCTCACTTCTGAACAGTGATTCCGTGGAGGCTCCCCAGCCCACTGCTTTTACATCTGCCTCGGCAAGGAGCATGCCCAACCGCCAAGAAAATGCGGCTGTGAGACCTGCTCCCGCCAGCACCGCGGCTGCTGCAGCCCCCAAGCCAACGGGACCCCCGGGCGCTGCCAAGTACTCAGGCTGGCAGCCTGCAAACCAAGGAGGTAACTCTCAGTGAGGCTTTTTCATGTTCGCTGAAAGATCTTTGGATAGCTTGTAAAAACACCAGCCCTTCAAATTGCTGTTTGTATGTTTTGAGTGCAGGCCAGTTTGTTTAGCAAAGAGGAGAAGAAAAACAGCTTTTGGTTTAGTAAACCAATAGCCCTTTGTAAGTAGCCTCCTAAATGTAATTGGTTTCACAAACAAGCAAAAGCAGATGTCTCTGATCTCTATTAAGAGCATATATACCAATCAAACATATATATATATATGCAACTCAGAGTTTCAGCTTGGCGCTCTCCATGTGACTGTAAATTCAACAGAACAGATTCCATGCAGCTTCAGGGGTGGCAGTATCAATAGACATGTTTTCCAAGTGAGCTTTTCTGATTAATTAAAAAAAAAAAAAGACAAAAACCACTAAAATATTCAAGTGGTTATGTATTTGGCATTTGTAGGTTTTATGTGGGAACATTGCAGAGTGTTGCGTAGGTTTGTGATATAGAGATTTGTTTGAAGGTGGGTTGTTGAATAGCTCCTACCTTTGAATGTAGGTTGGCAATTCTTCCCCATTTAAACCAGCACCAATGCTTGGATGTCTGAAAAACATGCCATTTTCTTTACGGACAGTCCTGTGTTATAACCATATCAGTATTAAGAAATACCATATGTGTAATTGTTCACCTTTATTTTTGTAATATTCCATGCAGTTATTTGGGCTAATCTTTTAGTGTAACTTGTTTCTTAAATGGAATCAGTCTTTGGTGCTGGACTAAACTTGAGGAGTAATTTCAAAGGATCTGTGAAATCTGTATTACTAATTAAGATTTAACTGCGGGTTTATCTTCTAAGGATGAGGTGAATATTCTTGATTCTCCTTCTGTCAGGATTTTTTTTTTTTTTTAGTTTAGCTTTTTTTTTTTTTTTAGTTGTGGATTTTCCCTCTTTAAAAGTATACCCAGTCCAGAAAAGGAACTATAGAGGCATAAAAATAAAAATAAGCATATGGTGTTAATGCTGTATAATGACTTTAGCACATCTGGCTAAATGACTGTTGTGCTCCGTCAGAAATGTATGTATTTTGTTTTGGATGTGCAGTTCTGCTAGCAAGCCTCGAGATGGCAATGTACTGACATTTCTATACTTCCCTGTCAACTATTGGGTATATTCTTGAGGAAATTTTATAAGTGACTAATTGTGCTCCATGTTTGGCATAACTCTTTTTCTGGCTCACCAAGTGATAAATGTATTTCACTTGCACAGAAACCGTGGGTCAGCTTGAGGTTCTGGTGGTACCACGCGCATTTTCAGTATGTTGGTAGGTGTTTCACTGCTAAATCTACTGGCATGCTTTAGTATTAACATAAGTCTAATTAATGCCTGTAATAGACTTTTTTAAAATTATGGATACATGAAGAAGAAAGATTTAGAAGAATGAATTAAATTACACTTGATTACACCTTACCATGTGCTTGCAGCCCAGAAAGCCAACCGTGTCCTGGGCTGCCTCGAAAGCAGCATTAGCAGCAGGTCAGAGGAGGTGATTCTCCCCCTCTGCTCTGCTCTCGTGAGACCCC